TATAACACCTCCAAGATCTAAATGAAATTTACTGAGGGCATACCTAACTATGATACAACTAATGCCCCTCGTGAGTCTGAGCCTCTAACGTGTCAAGGCGTGCAAGCCCGTCGTCGTCGAAAATCAAAGTCGCGACGGGCCCACATCGCATAACTTTAACCGTCCGCGTACCACAGAGCGCGATCATCTGTGAGGCCAACCACCATACTATGGCTCATAATGGTCTGATTCAGTCGATTCCCCACGTCAATCTTCACGCGTCTTTTTATTACCCCCGAGAGAATACATCTTAAAAAATATATTGTGTGTTCTCATAAAATGATAAAATAGCACTAAACATCCAGATTAATTGTATAAAGTTCCAACTATACAAATCCTTACGTGTAGGCGGACAACTCCATAATTTTACCAACTCATGTTTGAAAGCGGTAAAAAAATAGCAGAAAAAAATAACGTTGGTGAACTCTATCATTTTATCAACAATCCATTCCCTTGTCCCTCGTAACTGCAACTTACCATAACAAGAGAAGGTCCCAGATGAACCAAAACATTATTTAAGCAATGTTCACTGACTAATTAACAGGCGACCCCCATTGCACTGAATGTTCATACTTTTGATGCCCTTTTTCCTGTATTCATTAAGTAACTGTTGTAAGTTAACTGAAGATCGTCCATCTGGATCCACAAAGGTGAGATGCGTATATGTCCTCTTACCGACAACCGTTCTTCTTCGGTCGCCCGACCTTTTGCATTTTTCCTTCTTACTTGCCTTGCGCTAACGACACTTACTCAATTTGTCCTCTATGTTAAGATACACATACATTAGTTGAATCACAAACCTTTCTACTTTGAACAAATCTTATTGTGAGTAGCGGATTAATGGTATCGCTGCATATCGCGTCACCCCACAACGACTCAACCAGTTATACAGACGATTGTTTTTTTTTTCCGTCTCCACGACCTGTCTATTTTTCACACGAAAGAGATATTCTCTCCAGCGCTAATCCAACGATGGAGCTGTAACCCTTATATACACGTACTTAGTCCATGATGACAACAATGCATAAACCAACAGTCCCTCACAATTCACAAGATCAACACCCTCACTCTTAATCTTCGTCGAATAATTACACTGCTTGACTCCCGACGAATTTATTTTAGTAGAACAAGATTGAAGTCAGCCTCCCTCGCAGACGCATCAAAGACCTTACTCTCCGTATCATCCTTAACAAAAGAAAAATAAAACAGAAGACGCTTAACAATACCTCCATAATTTGTCGCTTTCGGGACGCCTCCCTAAGATGAACCAGACAATATATCCAACACCTCTTTTCAAGTTTCCTTACCATCTTGGCCTGTCGAAGGTTCGTTGTTTTCCCCCGCTCTTCTTCACGCAGATTGTCGAATCTCAAATTCGCTCGTATCTCTGCTAACTCCTCAAATGTTTCATCAATCGTCTTATATTCAATCTCCACCGTTTCACATAGTTTCTTCAACCCAAATTTCTTTAAAGCCTTGAGTTTTTTCCTTTTCTCACATAGAAAGGTGAAACAATCGTTCACAACAATATCATCCACCGCAACCTTTTTACTACGCCTATATATCGCCTTTGACCTCCTTCGCCGCCCCGGTTTCTGTCCGCTAGCCACCACCCCATCGAGTTTGCCCTTCAGGTTCGTGCCGTCTGAATGTTCTTTAACCGCCTTGATCGTTAACCTCTCCACTTGTGCTTCTGCCTAAACTCTCTTTGCTTCTTCATCCGCTCGTCGTTGTTTTAGCGCCTCCACTTCACGCTACCTGCAAGTCTCCATGTTCTTCATTCGTTCGATTTCTTCACGCATACTTTCACCTGGTGACTTCGTCATCCTCTGTCTTGACCTACACCTTGTACTACATTTTAGCGTGGTAATAGAGATGTTGCCTCTTTTATTACCTGGTCGCAATGCCTCGTTCATTCAGACTTGTGCCTCCTCTTTGGATTGTTTTTTTTCCTTCCTCTGTATGTTGATCTCTGCCTTGAGACCAACCAACAAATCCTTATCCAGGTCATGACCAGAATGTAACTCATGCATCTCTCTCACCAAAATACTCAATTTACTCTCCACTGATTCATTTGTTAGACCAACTTTAAGCCTTATCTCCTCATTCTCCGAGTCTCTCAACAATCTTTCGACAAGACTTTCGCTGCTTGCCGATTCCTTCTCTAGTGTGTTTCGATATTCTTTATTTTCTCTTCTTAAAGTTGTTAACTTGTCACTTTCCTTACCACGTGCACTCAATTTCACCCCTCCGGTTGCCATTCGCCAGTTTTCTCCTATAGGCAAAGCTCCACCATACATCGAAGGCTCCTTTCCCTCTGTCGGTAAGTGCAAAGTGTGGCAGGTACTACGATCCCTCTGCCCCATTCGAAAAAAGATTCAAATGGTTCACCGGTTCCACTATATGCTCTCTAGGTTGAATTGAGTACACCAGCTTGCTTTCCAGACGATCACTTATATTTTATTTCACTTATTCTCTCCCTTTTTTATCTTCCCTACACTTCTTTTTTTTTTCCTCTTCCTCCTTTTTCTCGATATGCTTTATTTTCACCTTGTTGACAAAGGTCGCGCACCTACCCCAGGATTCATTTCTGCATGCATCGGGATAAAAGCCATCACCGTAGGCTAGGCATAAGTTATTGCTGCCGAAGCAGGTGCACGTGGCACGAAAAACAAGGCATTAACCGTGATAGCATTAGCCCTCATCAGAGGAACCCGCAATGGTTGTGGATATTTCTTTTGAAAATGATCCGGGAGTCGATCTAGTACAGCCACTTGTCGAATAGTTTTATCCTTACGAAGGTTACTATACAAATAGATGGTAGTTGTTTTCAACTCAATCACAATACATATACAAAACCAACCATAGGCGAACCTTAGTAGTCAGCACACCACAACAAGAAAAAAAGTGGAAGACTGAATGAGACCAAGGATAGATGAAAGAGGACAAATACAGTAGAAACCATAGTTTTTTCCCGAACACGACCTTAAGAGGTTAAAATATTAAACATTAAATCCGACCTCCTATAATCATCTCCACGTAAGAAGCAGTCGTCAACATCGACAACAAAAGTCGTCAATATTTAAAAACTACACTTGAAGACTGACTGGTTGGAAGTGGTGCAACCTTACGTTGTGTTTTGGTCAATCGCCAACCGACACTCGTCAGGGGTTTTTCAAGCTGCGAATTGAGGAGGAATAGACTAGGCTACTACATCTAGTATATAATACCAAAAGTTAACTCGTCGGCTACAAAAAGAAATATGATCAGAAATGATAGACCCTCTTTGACACTTTCCAACGCTCGAAAGGCAAAAGGTCGAACTCTCAAACCTCTTTTCAAAAACAGACCGGTAGTAACAGACAAGATAAGACCAGTGATGACACCAAGAGCATGTTCCCACTAGCAACGAAACAGGATAAAAAAGAGTTTGTGTGACAATTGAGTGACTCAAATCCTGTCGTGCAGTACTCGTGATCCCACGGTCAGTATTTTACATGTATTACCTGAAAAAGTAAGGAGATTTTTGTTCCCCTTCTCCTCTTCTTAACACTGGGCATGGTCGTGCAAAAAAAGCGTCCCGCAAAAATCTTTTCAATCTGTTGGGGGTATGGCCAACCCCAAAAGAGGGTGGGGTCAGCCATAGGCCCACTGGATAGAAGTTTCTCTGTATTTTGTTTGCTGTTGTGCAATTATCTCATTTGGTGGTGCCCTCCTTCAATCGCAGAGTATATGGAGGGCGTCATGATCACTATTGACAAAAGTCGAGTTTATTCCAAAAAAATTGGCAGTTACTTTGTTCACTGTTTTTGCAACCACCACCATCAGATCATTTGTGATCTGATGGTTGGAAAGCACTCTGCCGTCCGGTGTGAGGACTCTGTTTCTTTTTCTTTTTTTTGCCTTTCTCTTGTTTTCTCAGCCCATAAATTCGTAATGAACCTATTAGGCCGCTGCCACTCAGTGTCACACTAGATCGACCACACTCCTATCCTACTGCTAATGGGACCATGCTCCAGGACTAGAACCAAGGCCAGAGAAATAAAAGAATCGAAAGAAGGCCCACCTGAAGGAGAGCAAAGAAAGGGGCCTTAGATAGAAGAAAAGCAGTCCCAAGAGCCTCGAACTTCGTACCTAGAAAACGAAAGAAAGGCAAAGAGAAAAGATAGGCTACCCAGACCTCGAACTTTGATCGTACAAGAAAACCAAGCGAAAGAAAAGAAAAAACGAAAAAGAAAGAAAAAGAAAGAAAACAAAAAGACAAAAAAGAAAATGGATAATTTGCAAAATACCCCCATAAGTTTAGATATATGCCAAAAAGCCCCTAAAAGATGTGGGTAGAGTGCCCCTCTAACAAAAAAATATTTTGTGAAATACCCCTGGCATCCGTTGGACCCCCATCTTTGCAACATAGCCCTACCGGGTACCACCCAACTTTGCAAAATGCAGCAGTACTTGACAACTGTTCCTAGGCTCTATTGCAAAAGGCCAAGGCCCAAACGGGAAGGTCCAGATTGCCAAGTTGCACACACGCCTGACAGGGGCACAACACAAAGATTTCGGCCCAAAATGGCATTCCTCTCTTTCAGGGGCATTTTGGCATATATCTCAACTTATGGGGGTATTTTGCAAATTATCCCAAAAGAAAAAGAAAAAGAAAAAGGAAAAGAAAATTAATAAGAAAAGAAGGAAAAGTACCAAAGCCCATCCCTAGGATTCCTTATCACATCTACCCATGCCTATTCCCACCGCAGCCCAACCAGTAGGCCGACGTCCCCCTCCAGCGAGATCGTCAGTGCCTGTGTATTCGTGCATGCGTGTGCGCGTGTTTGTGTGTGCATGCATGTGCTGGATGAGTCTGGGTGTGGGGTGCTGTGCTACACACACACACACACACACACACACACACACACAGAGAGGGCCGGGCGGACGCATGAGCAGTTCGGTGCTCTGGATTGACGCTGGAAGCCGCCAACGGTCGAACCTTTTTTTCATAGTCGGAGCGGTGAACAGCACCGCGCGAAAGAGGTAAGCCGCGATGTTATCCTTCCTCCTCGTCCTTCTCCTACTCCCTCTGCCCTCCGACTCTTCATCTTTCGACAGCCTGCGGCAATACCCGTCTTCAGCTGCTTTACCCATTTCTCTTCCCCCATTGCGACCCTCCCTCGCGCTGACCTTTTCTCGCCAACATCTTCAGATTGTAAGATCTGGCTGCTTCAGCTCCCGTCATTGCGCAGTTCCCCCGCTCTTCTTGCGTGCGTGCCATTATTTTCTATCTCGCTCAAGAATATCGTGTTTGTGTGTCACACACACACACACACACACACACACACAGAGAGAGAGAGAGAGAGAGAGAGAGAGAGAGAGAGAGAGAGAGAGAGAGAGAGAGAGA